CAGCTCCAATCTATATAAGGCACATGCATCACACTTATTGATCTCATACTCATAAAGATGCCATTCAAAATGGTTCAGTGGTTGTGGATCCATGTAGTACGATCTCTTTAGTCCTCCAAATTCATTCATGACTTGCTTTCTTGACTCATGCCAACCACGACCACTGTAATCAGGTAATGACCTCTGCTTTCTGTTCCCACTTTCAAATGCTCTTCGAGGCTTATCAAAAAAAAGCCATTCCCTAATTGTTTCACCATCAAGAACAGAAAGATCAAAGAGCTCTGCAATTGCACAAAAAAGTGTTAAGATATTATTAAAGTGCCGTGTTCCTTTCCCATCCAACCAATGAAGGAAAGGAAAACATTACTACTACAAGCCAAAAGGGTTAGACTTACCAGGAGCATTCCATGGTGACTTTGCAGTTGCGGCTCCTTCACATTCTGGAATACCAACATCTTTCCCTTGGGCTTTTGCACTAAGAGCAGCAAAAAGGAGACCATCCTTCAGACCGATGCCTCCTGGACGCAGAACTGGACCCATTCCAGGTGGTCCTTCATTCAATGCCAATGCAGCATGAAAGCTACTGCAATAGTCCTGACACCAGTCCAACCCTTGAGCAGGCCTTGGGCAATCCCAAAGTGCACATTTAGGACCTAAGAATGCAGAAGGTGGGGGGCATATGCTTGGCAGATAACCAGAAACATGAGGTATGGCATCCTCCCCACCATAGACAGTACCAGTAAAACCAACATAGAAATTTTGCTCAAAGTCTTGATGCATGTCAAAATGATGATAATCCAACTGATTAGTGCCTTCAAAATTGTTAACCGGCATGTTGTGCATTCCAGATGGAGAATCTTTGCAATTATTAAGCAATGGAAAGCCACGTTCTGGTTGCCCCTGGTTCACACTGTATTCCTGAAACTTATCAATTACCAGATCCACCAGTTAGTGCCCTTCTTTGATATGATAAAACACCAATAAAATAGGAAATTCTACATCACAATAATAAATATTAAAAACATAAGTGAGGCATGCATGCAATTCACAAGGCCAAAAAAGCAGAAACATATTTCAAATCATGCATGGAAATGTAGAGTGGGAAGAATAGATAGAATAATCAGTAATGACACTTTTTGAATTCCATGATTCTCTTCCATTGGTGGATAAAGGAGAAAATTGGTTCACATCCTATGCTCTCTCGGGCTAAATAGAGGAGAACTCATCCCATTTTTTTTGAAATAAATATATATATATTTTTATCTCAAAAAAAAATATTCACAAGGCACCAAACAAGGGGGTACCACCCATGTACAATTGTTTACTCTCTAAATAGAGGAGAACTCATCCCATGGATGGCTGAATTCAAGAAATTATACCCCTCCTCCCTTCTCTTTCCTCTCTTCCCACTGCCAGCTCTCAACAAACTAGCATGACTACAAGCCATTCTAATCCCATAAATATGATATAAAAGGCATGACAATTGTAGGTAACAAATCAAACACAGTACTCTCCCTTCTCAATATCCAGAAGGAAGCTTGAATTGATTATGCAGTAACAGAACTTGTAGAGCCTCAATTCACAAACCTCATAGTGAGTCTTCGAAAGAGAAACTAGTGGTGGAAGGACCACAAAAACAACTATGCCTAGAATTACCATAAAACAGGTGCATATAATTAAATAAAATATATAGAACAACAGGGAGAGGGCAGAAAATCTCTGAAGCTTTAAAGGAACATTAACTCTCTATGCTTTGCAGGCTGAAAAATGGAATGGAACATCTAGCACTCTCTGACATGGGAAACAATTATTAGATTTCTTCCAGCTGATGGACATAAACTCTTGCAGATTAGTAATGTACAAAATATTATAGGTATAGAAAAATGAAGCACTCTTCTCCAAGGCCCTTGAAAAAATTAGCCACCCTGTAAATAAAAAGAAATTAAAAAAACACTCATCAGAAAATATAACTGCAAATCATATCCATGGAATTTTATAGCCAAGAGTCTCGTTGATTTCACATCCCAAACAGTACTAAGCTTTGCAACTGCTAACTTATTAGATTCTTATTTTTTTAATAAAACTAATTTACTTTAATTACCATTTGATGTCCTCTTAAAAACTAATAATATACACATAAAATAATGTTCCTTGCAAATATTTATAGTAAATATATTGTTTATTAATTTTTTAATAAAAACAACAGTTTATTTTTTTGCAACATCATAAAATTAAAAATGTGTATATAAAATGGTGTACTACATAAAATATTTCTAATAAATAAATTTTTTAGTTTTAAAACTGCTTGTTTTTTGCAACGTCACTTTAGATACGTAATTGCTTATGTTTTAGATAACTCAATTGCTTAAGTAACTTAAACTACCTTACTTTAAACATATTTCCTTTAACTATATTTCAAATACACTCAAAACAAACTACCATAAAGTTTTTATTGAAAAATAAAACAAAAAAATTTCAACATAAAACTGAGGCGTCCGACAGTGATACTCTCCCTGGGAACAAATATGTCCAAGATGTTACCAGTGGTTACTAAATTAGTCACCTAAAAAAAGTATTTGAATGCAAGGAAACTAGAGGATTGAATCATTCCTATTTAGATCTTTCTGTGTCTAACAATGGCATTAACTCCAGATAGATCTTTCTTTTACTTCGTTAATGGAAAATAAATTTAGATAAAAATATTTACAGCCACAATTATATAGTCTAAATTCTATAAGATTGAAAACTTGTCCAGAGGTTAGAAAAAAAAACCTTAGACCTAAATGATTTTTTTCAATACAAAGGGTTAAAGCCTCAGAAAGCTCCATAAAACACTATCCAAAGCATTTGACCCATAAATGCTGCTGCCACAAAGACTAAATTGTCAACCATTAACTGAGCAAGTTACGACAGCAAAACCACATAAACAGCACATCTAGAAGAACTCTCACAGCTAACTTCAAAACAGCCAGTGCCAGATCACACATCTCCCAAAACCAAAGGGGATGAATTGTTGAGGGCAAAGAATTAAACCATGGAACAAAAGCACAACCAAGTGGTACATGAAAAAAAACATAAAGATGAGAAAGTGGATAATAATCAAGGCCAAACTTGTAGGGCTGCCACTTTCTTGACACAAGAAAAAAAAACACATACATTGAAAAATTTGTTTGTATAGCCTTGTCAACCTCCCAATTCAAAGAGCTGAAAGGACATGATCTTTCACGGGTTTCAGGAGGTTTAAAAGAAACGGCCAAAACCTTGATTTATCCTTATTGGAGGATTACATGTATGTTACGAAATATAGATAAATATAAATATTAATAGTCCTCTTCCTTTTTTGGTACAGAAATTAAATTCTCACTCACTCTATCTTGTTATTATACTTTAGAAAGCCCCAACCAAAACAAAGGGTAAATTTGTCAGTGAATTCTCAACTAATAAATCTAGATAAGGTCATCAATAGGACATCAATGCATTATTACTATACCTAACAAGTACATAATAGGCACGCCAATTAAACAAATAGATAAATATAGTATGTAGTTTTCTGGTGTTTATGCAGTGAGCATGAAATAGACTCTGAAGCCAATTAGCTTAAGGCACACAATCTTCTTGATGCCTGCTTCTTGAGTCCAATTAATGTGTCACGTCCGACAAAAGGAAACTAATGTTGCCAAAAATAATCATAATCAAAATATATAATCAATAAAGAATTAGTTGAAGAACCAAAAACAAAATACCCACCCCTTGGAATACAGTATTATGTCCAACTTGCAGGTTTTGATCATTAGGCTCAACCTTCGGTGCAGCTAATCCACTTGTTGCATCATCTTCCTCCTCACAAAGCTGCAGCAGCCGACAAATGTCTGACGAGAATGAGCCAAGAGGACCACCCTGTTAATCGCCCATTGAAAATCACCCCTTTTAGTATCTTATTAATATTAATCAATATCAGAACTATGGGTTTGTATTTCTCAACTTCATTGCAGATACCCATATGGGCATACACTCAAGATAAAACAACCAAAATAGCAGAGCAACACCTTAAGATACTTCAGATAGATATGTAAAACAAGCAACTTTTGACGATTCCTTTACAATTTGAAATATACATGTTAACAAAAATAATCAAGTATATACCAGAATTGTCACCCCTTTTCCTTTATACACCACTCAGGGAAATCACATTTCAAAAATTACTACATACACATACACGTACTCTCTGATCCATAAAAGAAAATTGGTAATCACCCCTTTTCTTTTATATACCACTCAAGAAAATCACATTCAAAAATTGCAACTAGGAGGTACATACACAAGCACGTATAGAGATTCATAAAAGAAAGCCACACTACTTGTTGCAAAGAAGACGCAGGAGATGGCTCATTAAGCTCTGCTTTCCATTCCCGGAGCATCTGATGAACTTGCTCCTCAAGGACTGCAACATCAATTGAACGGCTTTCCTTCCTTGCGAACTGCAGATCCAAGAACATTCCCTGCAGATCATCAACTCGGTTCTTTGCCTTGTCCTTGAAGAGTTTGTGGGATGCAGACTTGCAGTTAGTCTTCGAACCCTTCCCCATTACAAACTTCCTCCTGCTCTCAACCACGATTCTGCAGTCAAAAATCAAACCCATTAAAAACGAACAGTTAGAATCGCAATAACATAAACTATATTACCCAACTGGTAGGAGCCCTAAAAGCGAATAAAAACCCTAAATTTAGGTCAAATAAACCGACATTGACAAACAAAAGTAGAGATAGACTAGGGCAAGTCGGTACTTTCAATTTAGTAAACCCATGATAATCAAACCAAAATCCAACGATACAAGATTCACAAAAACTCCATTTGTTTCAGAATCAAATCTAACAGACAATCAAATGAAAACCAATCCCAGGTCGCCTTTACCACAATCATATACATACATATATAAACTCCATCTCTCCCTCTCCCTCTCTCTCTCTCCAACTTTTTTAGGTACTCTGTCTGACCCAGTAGTCCAATATAGCTTAAAAGACGAAATCAAGCAACCAACAACGTCAGATCAGAGAAGGAACCAAATACTAGAGCCATAAAAAACACACAAATTACTCAATAATCCAAGGTAAAACTAGTGATCTTAATACCCCTATGAGAAGATGAATCGTAAACTCACTGGTATATTACTGTCTATCCCGAGCTGCGAAAGAAAGGATAGCGGAGAGTGAGGGATAAAGTGATAGGAGATTGCGATAAATAAAGGAAAAGTAAATATTCCATACACCAAACAAACACACTGTTTATCACCAACAAGAAAACAAAAGAGATGCTCTTTACCCAAAAAAAAAAAAAAGAAATTGTTGAAGGTAGAGGAGAGAGAGTCACAGAAAGACGAGAGAGAAGGAAATGGGTTTGTGCTTTTTCAAGTTTATGCTTCCCATTCAACTCTCTCTCTCTCTCGCGCGAGCGTCTATCCCGAAAGTACTGCGGCAAATCTACTTAATACTATTATTATTATTTTGATGATAAAATGCCATTTTTAACTTTTGAGATAACATAGTAAATCAAATAATAATAAAAAATTAAATAATAAATTATAATAAGTACCTAGAATAAGTTGAAGATTCGATCAATAATAAATTATGAAACAAATTTTAATTTTGAATATAAATTAAAATTATTTTCATGAATTTAAAAATTATATACTTGTTTCTTTAACAAATTTTTTTATAACTCAATTTAATTAATTAATGTTGGCAAAATAGATGACATATTATATAAAAAACACATGACAAAGAGATGTTTAGCAACAAGTTTATTGAGTACGAAATTTTCTTAACAATAACCAACCAAAAAATATATTTTTTTAATGTTTACTCATAAAACCATAACTCTTAAACATTTTTTATTTTCTCTGTTTTTACTTAAATTTTATCAAACTTGAAGTAGCACTCGTCAAACATAACCTTATTAAAGTCTACATAAAGATTAAGGCAAGCAGTAACAATAAAGATGACATTTTACATTTAAACTCGTTTGAATATGATCCGATACTATTTTATTCGTCAAAGTAAGAACTTAGGTCGAATTGGGTATGGGCTATGTTAGGTATAGGTTGGTGAAAAAAGAGGAGAGACCGAACATTTTTGAACTTAACATGCTATGTATGTATATATACATTTTAAATTATTATTATTATTATAAATATAAATATATTATATTAATATAATAAAATAATTAATGAGATTCGAGTTAAATAACTTGTAAACCTGACATAATCTAAAAAAATGATTCAAACATGCTTCGTATTTGTGAAGAATTTGAGTTTGTTCTTTGTAGGGGCAAGTTGGATCGAATTTTGGTAAATTTTGTCTTGAACTTGCCTCGTTCGTTGCCATTCCTAACTAATAAGCTCCCTTAGTCTCTAAACTCATGATAATCAACTTTGGTTGTTCCTTGTCATTTTAAGAATATCAATTGGCATCGTATATGAGAAGTAAGGAATGACGATGATGATTTAAAGAAGCACATGTACGTCATAAATATAAATTTTTTAAAGTATAAGGGTGAATAATTTACCTTATCATTACTTCATTCTCCTAAATGATCTTGCTCAATTAATGTAAGAAAGAAATAGAAACATCAATTTCTTAAAACGCCAACTAACAATAGGTAACTACAATCCCTCATTGTGCAACATAAGGTAGATTTGGAAGAGATACCTCCAAGTGTGAAACACGTTAACCAAAATCAAACAAATGGTAGCAAAAACTCTAACCTTATAGTAGGAGAAATATACATAAAGCCAAATTTTATAATATTTAAGGGACATCAGGAATAAGGTCAAAGAAGTAGATGACAAGTTAGCCTACAATGACCCGAAACTTAAAAGAAAATAAAATCATAAATTGAATGCAGAAGCGAACTAATAAAGTTAGAGTTTATATTTCTTACATAATAATTTAGAATACTCAATAGGGTTACGAGACTAAAAGAATAATGAAAAATCAAAAAAATAAATGCAAAGTAAACAACTGGGCATCCTATTCGCAATCCTTTTGTGGATCGGAATCTGGATCTTGATTCTCTTGATCTGAAATATTTAATGAAAGAGTGAGCTACACTAGTCCAGTAAGAATATTACATTACTCACCGATACAGAAATGAAGATTGATAAAAATCATAAAAATAACTAATGAAACTCTTAATTTAAGTAAATTTATGTATTATAAATAAAATTATTTATTGCATACTTACCGTAGCGAGATTTTCAAAAATCGACCTATAAAGGCAATAACACAAAAATATTATAATCTCATATTCAATTAGTCAGAACAATAACTTATTCCTTTTTATTTGCTTACTAGTATCCTTGGGGGTTCATAGGGATGTCCCATTATGCGTGAACCCATAATAAAACTTGTCAACTAACTGGCCGTTCCCATACCCCATTCGGTATGAGCACCAAAAATATCATCGCTCAATACTCGTCCAGTATGAGGGTGAATTAGGCCGTCCCTATGTCCTGTTCGGTATGAACGCCAAAAATATCTTTTCTCGATACCCCTGTCCGGTATGAGGTAACATTCACGGTATGATTCGCTATGTACTCGTCTGTCTACCATTTTTCAGGATATCCAGTAAGACAATCGTTTCATTCATTCACTTGACCAAGTAATTTTTCATTTACATTTAATTTTCAGTTTCACAATTCAACTGTAAATCACGCAAGACAAGTAATACATGCATCAAGGAAACACAACTAAATCATCTTACTAATTCCAGTGTATTATCATGCATTTAAAACTGTAAAATCAAACAATCAGTTAAAACATGACAAACAGTGATAAATAACCGGTTTCGGCTTCATTAGTAACATGTAATTAATTATCGAAGTTTTCTAAATTATGCAAAATACTTTATAATTTATAATTAGACTTCAATTCCATAACAGAGAATAAAGTGAGGATTCTTACCCGAATCGGTATCCGAAATACTAAACTTTCAGCTGCGCCTACTAATGGTCCCTAAGTTCCCTGAATTTTTTTTTTAGATTAAAATACGGTTCAAGTACTTAGAAATACCCCAAAAATCCAAAATCGATGTTAAAAACATTTTTGGGCCAATTTTGAAATTTCGGCACGGTGACACCACCGTGTTTCGACGACGACGCCGCCATTCGCGGCGCTCAGACTGGCTATTTTCGGTCAGTTTTGGCTGATTTTGGCCGGTTTTATACTCATCCCTGCGAGATAACACGTTAAGGGGCATCGTTTGGCCAAAAAAGTCGAAAAACAAAGACTTCCGACAATGAAATTTTTCAGTGCAGCGGCTCTGCTGGCTCACATTTACGGTTGGACGTTTTTTTTGGTCAACTTGTAAAAAACAGAATAGTGAATACAATTGTGAAAAAATCGCACGAAACGAAAATCAAGAAGAGGCTCATCGGGGGCAGTTTTTGGTTTTTCCTGCGACACCTGCAGTTTTCAACTCATCCACCAGTCCTTTTGCTTCGATTTGGCCATGGGGGTGTTCAAAATTAAATTTTGAGTGAATGAATTTTTTTATACCTTTTTTGACGGTGGGAGGTGGCTCCGGCGTGGTGGCGGGTGGCAATTGGTTCTCTTCTCCGACGATTAGTTCTTCTTCTTTGGCGGGTTGCTGGCGGCTAGGGATAGGGTTCGGTATGAAGTGGGATATTTATACCCGTCTCTCTTTAATCTGGACCGTTCATTGCGTTTGATCTCGACCATCTGATCGTGTTTAAAGAGAAAATAAATCTGAACCGTTTATCGCGATTTGATCTGGACTGTACGATCGCGTTTAAAGAGAGAACAAATCTGAACCGTTCATTGCGTTAATCGTGACCGTCCGATCGCACTTGAGGAGAGAACGGATTCGGACCGTCCACGTGCATAAGAAGAAATCTGGATCGTCCAATCGCGGACACAAGAATTACCAGTGTGGCTTCTCGCATGACACCGAGTCAGCGTATCTTACCACGCAACGCGCTCCGGTTTGTCGGGGTTGCTGATTGGATGTTCCTACGTGACAAATTTTTTTAAATTGCATTTTGACCCCCAATTTCTAATTTTTCTTTCAAAAATATCTCCGAACTTAAATTTTCACACATTTTTTTCAAAATTATTTTCAATTTCATCATCCACCTATTTTTTTCTAATTTTTATATTAAATAAAAATTTATAAGTATAAAAATTATATTTATATATATTTATTTTTATTTTATTTATTTTAAGATTAATTCCGGGCCAAAATTCGGACCCAATTATTACATAGCCAACCTTAAAAAAATTGTCAGCACTAATGAAACAACTGGTGACGAAGACTTGTTTGGAGAAGCTTAAAATAAAATTGTTAAAGGATGAGTTATAGGACCACAAAGTGATGGGTCTTTTTTTCCATATATAGTTGTATGGAAGATCATTGCTTCATCTAAGATTAAACTGTCTTAACTAGAATAGTACGATGGAATAAAAGATCTTGTGGATCATCTCAACTATTACAAAGTTGTTTATGTGGACGATAAATGCCATGTTGTGAAGAAAATTCTTTCTTAAGTTAAAAAAAGGGTTGATGAATGGTTTTAAGCATCAAGTCATGAATTGTGCATGGCTGTAAGGACCTTGCAGATAAATTCTTAGCACATTTCATTAACAATCAAATATCTAAGATAAAGGTGTATCATTATGCTTTATTATTTTAGGCTATATCATTACACTTTATTTAAAACTTTTAACTTTGGCTAACTTAGATAAAGGTGTGCCATAGTAGTAATTAGCAATAGAAAATCATGAAATTACCATTTATTTAATTAGAACCTTTAAAGAATCTAGTGGAACTCTTCTCTTAAGCATAAAAATAGATAAAGATAGAGGAAACTGTGGTTCTTATGGTGATGGAAGCATAAGAGACTCCAATAAAAGACACCGCGATGAATACACTTTGGATTCGCATAACATCTTAAACAACATCGAGTGAATAAATCTGTTTATGAAATCTTGAGCTTCTTTGGGCAAGGAGAGCTAGTATAATACACTATAGTTAGGAGCGATAACGAATCAAATGCATTTATAAATTGTTTAAATCCAGTTCCACAAAAATTTGTACAAATTTCCTTAGTATTGAATTTGAGCCTAAGAATTGCATTTAATTAATGAGCCGAACTTGAAAGTTTTTGATTTGAAAACTTATGAATATAGTTGTTTATCCATTTATTTTCTGTTACGCATATATTTAGTAAATTTTGTGTTTTATATATTGAAATGTTTATACTAACTCATGCTAATTTCAGCTCAAATTCGAGCTAATTTCAGCTTAATTCTAGATTTAGTTTTTTTCAAATTGATCTTGAATTATATATATATTAAAAGGAATCATACTTTAGTATCAAAAATAGTTAGAACCTAGATTCGAACCAAATAGAGTCTTACAGTATTCGAAATAATCAAACTCATATATCTAAGCATTTAGCTTGTCTCGATTTATTGGCACCCCTTACTCTTGTAAATGCATAACGATCTTATATGTCTATAAAGATTCAAGGTGACAAACTCCTTAAATGGTAAGATCTTGAGATAAAACAATAACATATTAATTAGATCAATAAAGTTTCACTTTCATAAAGTCTTAAGCTACAACATTAGTAAATGTAGGAAGTTTAAGGGAAAGATCGAAAACATTATCCATAAGGGCTATTGCAAAGGTAATGTGAAAAATAATAAAAGGAAGCATGTAATTTGTAAACGAGGCCATGAAAGTCAACTCAAGCCCGACCCTCTTGATCAATTAGCAAAATCATTCATTGCATGAAAACCACCAATAAAATAACTCCATAATGACGTTGAGTAAAGAATATATGTTTAACTTCAGAAAGTAGCATTAACAATATTTAGTTTCTACCTGTCAGTTACGTACAAATTTTATTATCTTTTTTTTGTGCGAAAATAAATATTTTTTTTTGCAATTATGTCTATTGGTGATGATGTCATCTTAGCCTGGAGTCTTATCTAACCAAATACTAGAATCTACCTCAATTATAAATGCTCATTCATATGGTCTTTTAACATTCTTTACGACACACAATAAGATCTTTTTCTCGTATAAAAAATTGGATGAAGTTAAAATATATTTAGGATAATAATAAAATATCTTAATGAATAGCTCTACGGAATCAATAACCAAGTTGATATGTATAGTTTTTGGACATGAAAATAATTTAAAAATTACAACAAAAATATGAAAAATTTAAATTAGTAAATATTTTAATATAAATATAATTATATTATTTCTAAGTTTAATTTTTATTTTTAATAATTGTACTTATTTTTACATACAAACTTAAATTCAGATAATAAAAATTCAATATTTGTTACAAATAATCATGATCTAAAAATTTAAAACAAAAATTAAAAGGAAATCCATGGAATTGACTGAAAGAATAATTATAGGTGCATGCATGTAAAAAGTTAAACAAAGAACATTGTAGCTTCTTTTAGAAAAATCATAACGACATTTTAACTTTAGAATTAGGTTGCATCTTAAAAAATTATCGATCAGATTACAATTACAAACTTCAAAGGTGCTGTATAATTGAATGATAGTTTATGTAACAATAAGCCATAATTTATATAATTAAATAAATTTTATTTACATTTTTAATCATATAATTACGCTAACAAGGAGTATATATATATGTATATGGCTTAGGAGAAAAGTGTCCCGACAAACTCACATGTAGCTCTTCTGCAGCATGAAGCAGATCCAAACATTTAGCTTGAAGTAGAAAATTTAAAACAGTAAAATGGGAATTCCAAACAGATCAGAGAAAAGATTTGCAGCAATATGGGCAACCTTTCTTTGTTTATTTTCAAAAAAATTATTCTCAAACATTCCAAGATTCTGAAATTTTACAATCACAAAACCCTAAATTGTGTCGTTGAGAAGACAGTGAAGCTGGAGGTTGAAGATGAAGTGGTGTTGTTGATGGTGACGATGATTCTTGGCGGGACGGTATTTACAACAGTGAATCTAGAGATTGAAGATGATAATGATCAGATGATGAACATTAAAATCTTATTCTGTTAATCAATACGAAATAAAATGATAATTAATAAAATTAATCGACACGAAATAAAATAAAATAATATAACTTAACTTAAATGAAAAGAAAAATGACAAAAAGTAACACAAAATAAAACCGGTCCAAAAAGAATAACATAATAAAAAAAACATTACAATTCGATATAAAATAAAATAATGCGATAAAATGATAAATTATGAAATAAAATGACAAAAAAAAAAAAAAAAAACATAATAGAAAAAACGTAGAAGAAGATGTTGAATTCACCAACTAGGCTAATAGGTTTTGAAATGGTAGGCATTATATATTTATCAATAAATAAAATTCCAATTTTTTTACTTCCCAAATAAAATTACGAAAGAGAGAAAAGAGAAAGTATAAAGAGAAATTCCACTAAGATGGACCAGATTCCTATCCTTTCTATATTGGACTTGAGGAATAAAAGGCAGAGGTGTGTTCATCAAGAGAATGATATGATCTCTATACACATCAATCACCATCTTTCATTTGAAATTTACCCTCGCAACTAACTATCCATCCCCCCATTTCATGCCATCATATCATCATCATCATCATCATATCACCATCATCACCACCACCATCATCATCACCACCACCATCATAGTTATCATTACTGTTACTCTGTATTAAACCAAGTAGCTCCTAAGTAATTTTGTAGAGAAAGTTTTGTACCTTCAACAATTCTCTCTGAACTAGACTGAAGAACTCTGTGAATTTGATGTGCTTAAAGAAAATTTAGAAAGAATAAATGAATACCCTAAATCTGAAACGATAACCTTTTATTATACTCATGTAAATTTTTTTTTTTTTTTTATTTACAGAAGAAAATATAATTAAGAGAAAGAAAGAGAAATACAATTACAGAGAATAAGACATCCTCCAAATATTCATATAAACTTTTCAGTGCTAGCAAAACAACACACATTCACATCACACCATATCTGCAATTGCATTAAGCATCAAAGCATCATCCATAACCAGCCACTCTTCAGCTGAGTGGTTCCTTACTTCCCTCCACCTCGAGGGAGTAGGTTCCAGTGTGGCCTGCAGTTACATGCCACTTTAAACGGCCTTCGAGCAAGAAAAAGAAAAAAAAAGAGCATCAAAGAAGAAAACCGATCAGATCAGAAGATACTTGCTAAGTTCAGATCAGCAGATGATAAGACTGGAGTCCAAATTAATGAAGTAGGACTAAATGGCAGCAGTATATAAGCAAACTGTTGACTAAATATTAAATGTAAATGAATCTGAAATCTACTTGTAAGGAGGTAATCACCAGGACACCGACTAGAGGAGTTATCCTTGATCGAACAGAAGTAATTAAAAATGGGGTGTGAAAAACTTGTACCAAGCAGCTAAAGACAATAAACAAAATGAACATTAGGATCAGTTGAAAGCCTTACTAGTTGAAGAGAGAGAGGAGACAGAAAAGTGGGAAGATCATTTCTTATGGAAAATGTGTTTCAATTTAAATAAATATTTCCAGGTAAACCATAAAGGCTTCAAATGTTTCATGTACAAATGATGCTATGTGATGATTACCATAATTACTATAACGATTGATTGTATCTTCAAAAACAAAATTTTGTAAATCAATCATTACATCCCAGATTCAATTTGAGATGAATTAATGGAGCAGGTGATACCAGACCTCTGCCCAAGTAACCAAGGGTTAAAGAATGAAGGCAAGAAGCTTCCCTCATAAAACAAGGGATATCTAACAAACCATAATGGGCAAATAAATAATCATCTTTCTGTAAATCTCAAGTCGGATCAAGTTGGCTTTGCTAACTTTGGATCCTCCATATTAGCACTTGTAAAGTGTAAACTACAACTTAGTCCTTGTCCTCTTGCAAGCTGTGCCAGTTCTTCAAGTTTTTGCCTAAGAAGTTCCAGCTCTTTTGCTAATTCCTCATCTTTTTGCCTCAGCACCTGCAGGGGAAAGATGACTTTAGGCCAACAAGTTGCATGCTAAACATGTAGAAGCATCAACAGTAAAGCAAAAATGGGGATCGTAGACGAGAAAATAATCTTTTTAATTTGGGATCACACTTCAGAAGTAAGTTCAAATGCCAAAGTTATGGAAATTACATGTAATTTAAAAATATCTATAGCATGCGTCATCCAAAACCTTGACAGTGATAATCAGTTTACTGTGTGGAGGAATCAGTCCCAACTAACTATTTTCAGATTAACTCTCAGTGAGAAAACTTTTGTTTCAAAACACTGATGAATTTTCTATACAACAGCAGTCAATAGACTCATAATGATTCAATGATTTCTTAGAACCGGTATTACGACCTATACCACAATGATGCTGTCTATTTCTTGAAGTACTCTATTAAGCATAGAAAGGCTTTGTAACAGTTATTGCCTTTGGCCACTGTAACATGACAAAAGTTTTGGAGTCAAAAGCTACAAATGTTGTTGGAAAATTAGTACGGTCAAGGTATAAGATTTGCAACTCTGTAAAAGGACATTTGGACTTCTTTAAGAAAAGCTATGAGCCTTGGTATGGAAAAAATTGACATAACACGTCTAACATATTCCACTTATGTTTTGTTCTAGATCAGGATGGCACTGAAGAAAATTAAAACATAATTCGTGTGAATACAACAGGAAAGTGAATTCATGAGCACTAAGAAACTGGAAGGAGCATTCCTCAAGACAAATGGCATAATGAAGAACTCTTAGTGGTATGCGTACAAAAGGTAGTTTTTACTATGTCTTCTAAATGCATTCCTAATCTGGTGGTACCAATATTGCAAATCTAACTTTGACTGAGTGCAACTCTTCCAATTCTCACGAATTATTGGAATAGGAACTTTGCCTTTTAACTATTTTTAGATTAAAGGCACGATAGTCTATAGAAAGGCTACATGCCCTCTAACTTTCTAATTAGCAATTTTGGAGAGAAGGTAGACTGGCACAGTGAAGACTTGCCCTGGAGTCTTTGAAGCGACAAAAAAATAAGGATCTAAAAGACTTAGGCATGCTCTTGAAATTCTTTCAAAACTCAAGCTTTTAGGAATCTAAACAGAAAAATTGAATGATTAACCAAAAGTATAGGTCCCAAAGGATCGGCAAACCAACAAAATAAACTGTAGGCTTCTAAGAATCTGCAAGTTATTATATAGATATTAATTACAGCTAATAAATAAATATTAAAATAATTAAAAAAGAAATCAAAAGCTTCTGTAACATAAAACCATCTAAATAGCCTAAGATTCTAACACTTATAATCTACCTAAATTGGCTAAATAAAACAAAGATGCGAAAAGTAATAATAATAATACTCAAAGCTTCTTTAATTTTTTTGAAAAATAAACTAAAAGCTTCTTTAATAAAAAGTTTATTTCAAAGTAGGATCCTCTTGTTCTGCATTACACTGAAGGTTATTTCTGAGAAAGATATCACCTAATAAACCTAGGATTTCAGTTTCACAGACTGGATGAAAAAACAGCATGCAAAGGTTGCCTTAATGCAATCTGCAGAGGGACAATCTAGAAAAGAATACTTCTACATTACCTCTAGTTCTTGTTTACGTATTTCCTCCTTCCTGGCTTCTGATCTAGAACTTCTCTGTACCTCAAAGATTACAGCAGCTCCTGCAACCTACTAGCATGGAACATTGTGTATAAATATGCAGAAAGCAAATCAATTTATATGCAATTTAAATTGGTTCATTGCCAACCTGTAGGCAGTGACCAATTATCTTACAGTGCCTTACCTTGCAAAGTTGGAGTAATTGATGGATTAATGACCAGCCATGTTGCTTACCTGAATGAGCATTATCCCCAGTATTTACACATAATTCAAGCTAACCTTGAACACCAGATCTTTAGTTCCAATAGAAATTGAGCTGTTCACAACTTCAAACTATCCCCTTTAAGGAACTTCTCTAGACTACATAATGCTGGAAAGCAACCATATCTTGTCTTCAATGATGTTAAAAGATGAATATTTTTGCTATCCTCATAATAATCTTGCAAGTTTTACAAAAAGCAAGGAAATACCAAATTAAAATATATTACTTTTGGCTGTGGAAAAAATGGCTAAAGAAATTGGAGCATGTCATCATAATTTTAGAGTAAATGAAGCAAGCTCAAGCACTGTTGTTTAAAAATAATGAAAAAATTAGTGGTAAATTGCAAATTAGTCCTTGAAACGTGTTACAGTTGACTCCCAAAACTTTTTCTCCACTAAAATTTGTTTCAAAAGCTTACAGAATATTTCAAAATGTCATTTTTTTTTAATAAAGTTTTAACAGAACAACAGAAGCTCTTTCTGCCTTTGTTTGGGTGACACAAAAGAAAAAAACTTAAAAATGTACTAAATTTCTATTGTGAAAAAATTATTTCTACATGTCTTTTTCTTCTCTATTTCTATTATTATAACCTTGCATTATTTAAATATAAACAAAACTTGATTTTCCTTATTAAGTCTATCAAGGTTACTTCTAAACTGCTATAACTTTCAAACCAAATGAAAAATAAAATGCAAGCAAGATTGAAATTTCTTTTCTAAAAAATTCCATATTTCTATAGATAACAAAACCATATTTTGAAATAACTCTTGTTAATTTAATGACCAAATTCTAATAAAAAATTCTAAGATTATTGCATTGTGGCCTATAGTTCAAGGACAAACAGTAATATTTTCCAAAAATTGATGCACCAATAACATTCATCTAGCTCAAACTAAATTAACTGATGATGGAGCATTGAAGACATCCTCCCTCATTATTTTTCTTGAATAATATGAGCAGAAAGCTCAAAGAATAAGTGGATATAACGTTTCATTTCAGTTCATGAAATTTTCTTTTCTAAATCATTTTTTTAAATAAACTCTTATCTAAATCAAAGTAGTTCACATAGACGCCAATTAACATGACTTGATGTTAACCGTAAATGTCCCATATCAGATGGTCTAATTTTATTTGTACCCTTGCTTCTATGCAGTTGATAAGAGCAATTTTACTCTGGTCCAAGTAGTCCCGTTTTTAGTAATAGAAATTTGCCCGGATAAACCTAGATTATTTGCTGATGCAGCAGCCAGTTGGGCTCGAACTCATTCCCTCCAAGTACAGTAAGAAGGGGCTTAATGATTTATGCAAACCCATAACTCCAGCCCAAGGTGAGTGCTCTACGCAGCAGATGCCTTTACTTTTTACCTTCTCAGTTCTCACCCTATATCGTGGATGAAATAAAATCTCCAGAAGTTTATAATTCAGGTTAATCGAAAGGGTTTCATCTTCACTCAAAATCAATCACAGAGTGTATTTGTGAGATTCACATCGGCAAAGGTAAACTACAGGAAATTGGATCCCTCTCTAATGTGAAAGAGAGAGTACTGCTGCTATGACCTATTATGGGGATACATGTATATTAGATTCAGAAACAAAAGAAGTGTCTTGCATGACAAACAGAACCACATAAGCATAAGTTTTCAACCCTAATTGAATATCAATCTTCTACAAAAATCAAGTATTTATAAGATCACAAAATTGTTAAGCAAATGGCATGAAAATGGGTAATACCGTAAAGATGAAGAGTTCTCCAATAAGGTCACCAGCAGCCTGAACTGCTTTCTCCTCGTCCAATGGACGTATCTCGACATCATTAGAATGACCATAGAGGCGTCTTTGCATTCTCGTGGTGATTCGATGATTTACCTGGTCCAAACAAAAGTGCACTGTAACTAACATGTTATATACTCCTTGAATCTTCTGCAGCAATCAATAAAACAAGATAGTGGGACAAGCAAGCAATGGCTGAAAGATAGTATATACTTCTTTAGACAGTACATTTAGGCTCCAACTAACACTGCTAATTGGTGCTAGGAGTTACTGCTAGCACCAGCTTGTGGTTGACAAAGGCTGCCCTTTTGTTAATGTTTGGGGATTGATCTGAATAAGTCTCCTTTAGACCTTGTTTGGAACAAATTGTGAACAACAAAGTTTCATTTAATGTGCTAATGAATCTTTTTTATCTCAAGAAAAAAAAATGTGCTAATGAATCTTTTGTTTGGAAAAAACTAAGAAGCCTTAAAACATTATACAGCATTCAAATGAATCCATAAATTTGAGAAAGCAAAAACAATCACTGCGCAAGTCGCTTCAAGATTCTTCCCTCCAAATTTTGCAAGTTAATTTCCAATTTTATCGAACTTAACAGAATTTATATTGCACTTGATGTTCCTTATGAAATTATTCCAAATTCCACCAGATCTTATAGAATTTGAATTGCACTTGGTTAATTCCATAAGGAATTCATTTCTACTAAATTCCATAATGTATTATTTATAATGATCAAATTCATACAATTTGAATTCCAAATGAAATTATTCTAAATCTCAAAATTTGATAGGATTTGGATTGCACTCGCTTAATTCCATAGTCTAAATATATAACAAAATACATTGATTTACAAATGAATTCCACATTTTTTGCATGAGACTCATTTACCTGAAACATAAGATAAGAGACATTGTGTCACCAAAAAAAAAAAAAAGAAAAGATTAGAGACAGTGGGATTATTAGGGCTTTTATTTGCTAACAGCTGCTGAATAATAAGCCTTTTAGTTACAAGCTGTAGGAGAGTTTATTCTAAATCTATACCTAGGTATCTTCATGGCAAAGAGCTGAGTATATGATACCTCAAAACAAACCCACCAATTTTCGTTTACTATAAAGCAAAACTCTTTAGTCCATGGGAAAACGAGAAATCAATATCAAGCAGTAAAAAACTCAGAATTCCCATATAAAACGGAGCAGCTACCAATCGAATTTAAACGGTCAAATAAAACAAGTAAAACCGAAGCGGAAATGAATGCGTGAATATAACAATGAGATGCAGTACCTGAGCAATGTTGACGATAAATTGACGAAACCTGGGGTGCAAACTAGCTTGTTGCTTGAGCCGGCTAGCCACCGGCTTGCTAAGCGTCTTCAAGAAGAGAGTTCCAAGCTTTATTACTGGCAATACCATTACCGCTACTACTTCTGAGACAAGACAAAGTGGTTTGTCCGATCTGCGCCTCCGAAATGAAGGAAGTCTGTAATCGCTGTGAATGTTTGATCGATAAGTGCCAAAATCTCATTGGGAGCTTGATGTATAGTTCATAATATTTTGACTTTTAAATGGCGTTTGGTTTTCTTGGAGAAGACGGGAACGAGCATGTTGCTGGGAAAATACAGTGAGTTAAAATAACGAATTGACTCGCTCCGATCTTGTTGGCGGCTAATAACAGCTAGAGATTATTTATTATTTATTAATATTTTTTTTGTTATTTTATTCTAGTTTTAATTTTATTATAAAATAGTTTTTGACTTTTTTTTTGAAATTTTATTTTTCAAACTCTTTTAAAATTTTTTTTGTTTCCTTTATTTATTTTTTCTTTTTTAGTTTTTGAGAGCGTAATAAGTAGCATATCACTTGATTAACAATTAAATTATTAGTATTAAAATTATTAAAACTATATTATAATATTTTAAAAAGTTTTCAACCACAAATTATAAAACTAAAATTTTAATTTTAATATAATAATATTTTAAATAAATTAGTAAGAAAAATTTTATTTAAAAATTTACTGTTCCTACCACCCACTCAAATCCCCAAAACCCCGCAAAACCCCTAGCGCAGAATTCGTTCGCACCTCGTCAATCCATCAATGGGGTTCTCTTCCTCTTTCTTTCTCATATCTCCACTTCCCTCTCACTTCCAAAAATTCACATTCTTTCGTAAAATACCCCTCGTAAGTCTCAAGAATTCCTTCCATGTTCTCTGTTGCTCTTCGCCGGGAATTCCTCCATTTACACAACAGGACATCCTCAACTTCATAGCCGAATCAAGAGGGAAGACGCTCCCTTGCGTGAGGACCTACGAGAATGACTTGGTTCGGCTCAGCCTTGTCGGAGACGTAGCCTTCGATCAGGCCATCACTGCTGCAGCAGCCGATGGAGGAAAAGTCGCCGCCGAGCATCTTGACTCGGGGGTTCCTGCAATGGTCGTCGAGACTGTTTTCCCAGGCCTCTCCGACCCGCACGCCACTGTTTCAACTCGATTGGTCGGTTTTCAGCTCATTTAGTGTCTCATCAAAGTTGGTCTCTATCTTTCTTTTACATGTAAATTAGTGTCTTTTTTTTTTTGAAATTTCTATTTTTTCAGTTGTACCTAATATCTGCAATGAAATGAAGTTCTATTGGCAATGTAAATGGAGTTGTAATTTAGTGAAGCTGTAAACCAGTTGTATAGCTACAAAGCTGAGTTGTAAGTTTGAAGGTTATGTTTGGAGCAACTGAACTATGGTTTTCAAATGAATGCCACCAGAAATTTATCTCTAATGAATTCATACATTTAGAACGAACATGAATTTGTAAAGTATTTTATGGCATTAGATGATTTGTGGAATAAAATTTTAGGTGTATTCCATGGTATATGTTGATGGATTCCCTTTTTAATTTTCTTTTTTGTCTTAGTAATGTTATTTCAATCTATTTCAAATCATGTTTTTTTTTTGAAATTTCACATTTAAATTAACTCCCAAGCATAGGCAAAGTTACAAATGTGTTTTACAATTTTTTGAAATTCATTAGTTCCCAAACACATAATTCATCGGTGATATAAGCTTTTATGCAGATATATGGTTGCCTTGCTTTTTGTGGTCAAGTTTATCTCTTTGTGTTGGTTGTTGCTTTGCCATCTAACTGTTTCTTTCCCTGTTTTCTTGTTAGATTTTGCTTTCAAGTTACCATTGTTGCTGCTATACCCCATTTTAGTACTTCCCTAGTGATTTATTAAGCTGATTAGGATGTTTAGATAATTTTCACACCATGGCTTGTGTTTTGATTTCTTGGAATCTTAATTTCTTGAACAGTTCTTGCCTGCTCGGGAAGTTAAAGAAAAAGCAAATAAGCTCAAAAAGTCTCTTTCTGAAGATATTTTCTCCGAAACTATATCCAGGAACATACTTGCCATGACGTTTAGACAAGTAGTTCTACAACAGCTTAGCAACTTTGAGCTGGTTTTATTCCCTCCTGGAACAGAACGAGATATGGAGGATATTGAAAGCCCCAGAGAGGTATGGCACTGTTGTTTTCATAGTTATGCTTTTTTTTATCTTTATGTCTGCATCGCCTTACCACGTAATGGTGTATACACTTTTAAAATCACAACACTAATAGACCAAGATAATGGGCAACACTGTACACAAAATTTTTTGAAAGAAAAGAAATGAGAAGGGGAAGAAAGAACTTAAAGTAAAGGTGGGGGAAAGAAGAAAGAGAGAGGGAAAAGTGGGACAAAGGGAAAGGAAAAGCGTAGAAAGGACTAGAAACCAAAATTTTAAGGAGTTAGAAACATAATAATCATCATAATCTCTTTTGCATTATGATGAGTGTCTTATATAGCAAAACTAAGTGGCCGAAAGAACTAATAGAAGTTTATTTGAATGAGTCATGCATTTGAAATTTGGAACTCAATAATTGATTGAGTCCAAAATTTTCTTCTCTCTCTTTCTTTCTAGTGCCGCTATGCCCATCTTTTCACCTAAGAAGTTTATGGTGATTGAGAAGAAATCATTTGATGTAGTTTGAGAAGAAAATAATGGAGATATTTTCAGAATCACTTAGAATGAGGTCGAGTTAACGCCATCATTTTTTTCTCTTCAACTAGGATATCCAATGGTTCTTTAAGTCTTTGTGTGAATCCTGTTGGTTAGAGGTCATAAGTGCTGGAGAAAGGGTTTTGAAGGGAGTTGATCTTTCCATCTTCACCAAGCTGGGTAGGAATAAGAGAGGTGGATTCATGGATCTCAAGGAGAAGAATGCAGGGGGGTTACTGATGATTGTTCATCCCTGAAGGAACCAAAGCTAATGGGTGATGGAGGATAGTTTTGTTGGTTAGTTTAATCAATAATTTGGCTCTCGTTGAAGGAAGAAAGTAACAGGTCCTTGCTAGTCAGATGGCCAGGCAATAAATTTACGAAGGGGTGAAGTTGATACTCAGTTGGAGAAGGCTACAGTTGGTCTAGCGAAGAAGGAAACTATGGTAACTATGGCGACCAATTGCTCTCTCAGTGGCGTATGTTAACATTGAGAGTGTCCTCTCCTACCTATGTTGCAATTGAAAATCAGTCATCAATCTGTTAGTGAAGGAGAAGTTTGTTACTTTTTTGGTATCCCAACCGCCTCTTGTACATTTTAATAGTGGAAGATCTAAAATTCAAAACAGGATGGGAACCTTATGTGTGTTTCTTGCAGGCTGAAGTGGGGCTGGTTCGGGCCTTGCTTACCAAGCCCCATGACCAAAACCTCATTTTTTGGAAAGGGCAAATGGGTTCCTTAGGCCCGTCAGTTGGCTTCTCCCTTGCTTACCCAAGCCCCATAGGCCCTAAATCTGAAACTAATATTTTCCTAAATAGCCTAGGTAACATGAAATTATATGGATGTACTAAAATCAAATAAATATTATAAATATTTTTTAACACTAAAAACATTAAATCTTGGCTTATTCCTGTCCTGCGTCATCATGATATCATATTTGAATGTCTGTCATGCCAATGATAATTGATGCTGAAGTCAAGGAGATTTTTTAAAAAAGAAGGCTGTGGAGGAGTGTCATCGAGGCGAGTTGGGGTGGCTTGGATTAATGTGGAGATGTAGGACAGAAAAGAAGGGTCATGGGTTAGGTCTGTGGAAGAAAATATTGTTGGGCTGGCCTAGATTTAAAGAATGCTCTATATGGAAGCTGGGTAGAGGAGATAAAATCAGATTTTGGCTGAAGAGTTGATTTCCAAGGATCTTTGCAATAGCACAATCAAGAAATTTGCTGATTGAGGAGGCGGGTCAGTAAATGTTAATAGTAAATGATTGGGAAGTCAGAGAATATGAAGAATTGCTGCCTCTTATTTCTGAAAAACATATCACATCAGAGCTGGACCAATTCCTATGGAAGCTAAATCAAAAGGGGGAATTCTCTGTCAAATCCTTCTATACGCACATTGTAGAAATGTATATATGTAGAAATGTAAATATAATATGGGGTAAATTAGTATTTTACTAGGTTGTTATGATAGCTGGAAAATGTCCACTACCATTGCACCCCGTTAGATTGTTAGAATATTTTTCATAACCTTTTTTTTTGTTTGTTTTGGCCGAATGCCTATAAATTGGCATCTTTGTGCCCAATAATAATAACAGAGGATTCTTCTCTTCTCTCAAACTCTCAATCTTTTTCATGGTATTAGAGCCAGTCTGATCCACATTTATCATCCAAATCAAACCAAATGGTCACGGATGAGTAAACCTCTTTTCCACCTGAAGTTCTTTTAGGATCCTATCTTCCAATGCCAGTCAACAACTCTCACGTTGATCAGGCACCCTCGTTTGTTACTGGACATAGGTTGAATGGAAGCAACTATCTCCAGTGGTCTTCCTTTGTTTTGATGTTCATTCGCGGAAAGGGAAGAGATGAGTACCTGACTGGAGAGATCATTCCACCTCCAGCAAACGACCTGAACGCTCGTACGTGGAAAGTCGAAAATAATCTCGTAATGTCATGGCTGGTGAATTCCATGACAACAGAAATTGGAGAAAATTTTCTGCTTTATGAGACCGCGCACGATATTTGTGTTGCTACTCGTGAGTTCTATTCCAGCCGCGATAACACTTCAGCAATCTTCGAAATCGAAAGCCACCTTCATGACCTGCGACAAGGGGAGCTCTCTGTCGCTTAATACTATAGCGCCCTCACCCGTAATTGGCAACAGGTCGATGCCTTTGAAGAACATCAATGGAGTTGTCCCGACGATTCTAAAATTTTCAAAACCATCACTGAACGAAAAAGGGTCTTCAAATTTCTGATGGATCTCAACAAAAACCTTGATGAAATTCGTGGATGCGTTCTGAGCACCAAACCGTTGCTGAGTCTCAGAGAAGCTTTCTTGGAAATCCGTTGAGAAAAGAGTAGGAAGAAAATCATGATGGGAGAGTTTGGCCTGAACACCATGGAAATGGGTTTTGCCCTTGCTGCTAAGAAGAAATTCTCTCTAGGTGAATCCCAGAACAGTGCTCTTGTCTCCGAGTACACCTCTGCCTTTCTGGTCGCATTTCGGAAGCTGGAGGAAGAAAGGGGAGACCGCGATGTGAGTTTTGCAAAAAATCTGGTCATACCCCCGAGAAATGCTGGAAATTACATGGCAAACCAGCTGAGAAAAAGCATTCAAGGGATGAGGACAATATGTTAATTTCCGAGGAATTATCCTCCGCCCTCACATCCACAGAAACAACTCCCTTCAATCCAGCTCAGATGGAGACTATCTTGCAAATGTTTTCTCAGAAGGGCCTATTTGGTAATGTTTCAGTTGCTCAGAAAAGTAATTGCTTATTCAGTTTATCTGCATATTCTGTGAAAAGGCAAATATGGATTATTGATTCAGGGGCATCCGACCATATGACTGGGGATATTACACTCCTTCACTAGTACAGTAAGTGTAAGGAAATTTTCTCTATTAAAATTGCTGACGGAACAAGTTCTAAAGTGGCAGGAATTGGCTCAACCTATATATCACCGAATTTGGTTCTACATTCCGTCCTCTACGTACCAAATTTGGACTACAATCTACTATCTGTAAACAAATTATGTAAAGACTTAAACTGTGTAGTTAAATTTGACAAAAGAATACGTGTGTTTCAAGACTTGGACTCGGGGAAGATGATTGACAGTGTTAAGAAGGAATCAGAACTTTATTTTCTACCAATCACAACATCATCTCCAAATGGACAAACTACAAGTGTAGTATGTGTTAATTCTGTATCTGTAGGATGTTCTAGTATTGAACACTCTATTATATTATGATACTATAGATTAGGACATCCAAACTTTATGTATTTGAAACAATTATTTCCTGCTTTATTCAGAAATAAAAATTTAAGTTCATTTCAATGTGAAGTGTGTCAGTTTTTTAAACATATTCGCAATTCATATCCAATTATTACTTATAAAACTTCAAAACCCTTTGCATTGATCCATAGTGATGTATGGGGATCGTCTTAGGTGAAAAACATTATTGGTACAAAATGATTTTCTCCTTCATTGATGATCACACTAGAATAATCTGGGTCTATCTAATGAAAGAAAAATTTAAAATTAGTTAAATCTTTAAAAAATTCAACATTATGATTCAAACTCAATTTCAAATAAAATACAAGTGTTAAAAACTGACAATGCTTATGAATACTTTACATCCAACCCCTCAATAAAACGGTGTAGCAGAAAAAAAAAAAATACATATACTTGAAGTGTCTCGTTCACTCATGTTTACTACAAATGTTTCTAAATTTCTTCGGGAACTGGCTATTCTCATTGGTACATAACTGATCAATAGGATGCCCTCCCGTATTCTTAAATTCAAAACACTTTATGACTCCCTTGTTCAAGCATTTCCAGAGTCTCAAATTCTTCACACAATTCCCTTTAAAATTTTTGGCTGCTCTCCTTATGTTAACATTCACACTCATTATAGAGGGAAACTAGATCCTAGAGCCCTTGAGTGTATCTTTGTCAGGTATTCCTTCTCTCAGAAAGGTTACAAATGTTTTTGTCTAGTCACCCACCGGTTCTATAACACTATGGATATCACTTTTTTTAAGAACAAACTTTTTTATCCCACTCTCAATATTCAGGAGGAGACATCTGGTACTCAGGAATATCAATTGTGGGATGTGAACATATCTCTATTACATGTTCTATTAACAACATTAGAAAAAGAATCCGTCTCTCAAACTACCAAAAAACCTGAACCTGAACCCATCACAGAGACTGATAACGCATTACTTGCAGTAAGTAAGTTGTGTGTCTATAACAGGAGGAACAAAACTCAAAGTAAAGATAAAGTACCTGAGTCAACTATGTACTGTCATGATTCAACTCCTGGACTAAACACTCAGAATAACACAAGTAATGAGATCTCTGACTCAATTGATGATATTGGTTTACCTATTGCATTACGAAAAAGTGTTCGCTCTTGTACAATGCATCCCATACAGGATTATGTCTCATATGGCAAACTATTTTCAAAATATCATGCTTTTATGAGTAAGTTTGACAGTATCCCATCAGAACTGAGAACGGTTCATGAAACTCTCAAAATTCCTGAGTGGAATGTTACTATCCAAGAAGAAATTCAGCTCTTGAGAAAAACGGAACATGGGAGTTATTTGATCTACCTTCAGGAAAAACTCTAGTAGGATACAAGTGGATCTTCACTACTAAATACAATCCTGATGGTAGTGTGAATTGCTACAAAGCACAACTTGTTGCTAAAGAGTTCACCCAGTCATATGGAATTGATTATCAAGAGACGTTTGCTCTTGTTGCTAAGCATAACACAATTCAAGTACTGTTCTCTTTAGCTTCTAATCTTGATTGGCCTTTTTTCCAGCTTGATGTGAAGAATGCTTTCCTTAATGGTGATCTAGAACAAGAAGTATATATGGAAGTCCTACCTAGACTCGAGATAAATCCACAAAAAGTGTGCAAATTAAAAAAGACACTGTATGGTCTTAAATAGTCACCGAGGGCATGGTTTGACAGATTCACCAGAGCAGTGAAGCATATGGGATATGAACAGTGTCAATCTGATCACACTCTATTCATCAAGCACTGTATCACAGGAAAGAGAGCAGTACTAATCGTTTATATCGATGACATTATACTGACAGGTGATCATAATGAAGAAATCTAGAAATTGAAAGACTTTCTAGCCAAAGAATTTGAAATCAAAGACCTTGAAATACTTAAGTATTTTCTTGTAATAGAAATCGCTCGATCCAAGAAGGAAATTTCTATATCTCAGCAGAAATACATCTTAGATCTTCTGAATGAGACATGTATGTTTGGTTGTAAACCTACAGAGACTCCTATAGAATCAAATGCTAAGCTTGGCTCCAAAAATAATAGCAAATATGTTGATAAAGAGATGTATCAGCGACATGTTGGAAAACTCATATACTTGGCTCCCATGAGACCTGACATTTGTTTTGCAGTAAGCACTGTGAGTCAGTTCATATCTCAACCTACTGCGGAGCATATGAGTGCTGTCTATCGCATCTTGAGGTACCTAAAGATGATACCTGGATAAAGATTATTTTTTCAGAAGATTATGGTCAGAGATATTGAAATCTACACTGATGCTGATTGGGCTGGTTCAGTAACTGATAGGAAATCTACATCTAGTTACTGTTCTTATGTATGAGGCAATTTAGTCACTTGACGAACTAAGAAACAAATTGTTGTGTCAAGAAGCAGTGCTGAAGTTGAATTACGATCTCTTGCCCATGGAATATGTGAAGGAGTATGACTGAAAAAGATCTTATTTAAATTAAGGTTTTCGGCTCCCATTACTATGAGGATTTGGTGTGACAATCTATCAACTATAAGTATAGCCAAGAATCCTGTGTACAACAACAAAACTAAACATATGAAAATTGATCAACACTTCATCAGGGAAAAAATTGAAAGCAAGGACATATCACTACAATACATCCTAATAAGTTAGCAAACTGCAGACATTCTCACAAAAGTACTACCAAAAAGAGAATTTAATAATCTTGTATCCAATTTAAAATTACTTAATATTTATGTATCCTACATTGAGAGAGAGTGTAGAAATGTATATATGTATAAATATAAATACATTAGGGAGTAAATTAGTATTTTACTAGATTGTTATGATAGCTGGGAAATGCCCATTACCGTTGCACCCTGTTAGGCTGTTACAATATTTTTCATAACCTTTTTTTTGTTTGTTATGGCCGAATGCCTATAAATTGACATCTTTTTGTCCAATAATAATAACAGAGGATTCTCATCTTCTCCCGAACTCTCAATATTCTTCACACATTGTGAGGGAGGATCATGCTAATGCATATAAGTTCCCATTTATCCAGATCTGGAAATTGAAGGTACCACTCAGAATTGCTTTTTTTTTTTTGTTTGTTTGGGAGGCTAGTAGAGAAAACATTTTGACTATTGATAAACTGGTAGCTAGAGGTCATATCTTGGCTAATAGGTGTTATTTGTGTAAGCAAGCGGTGGAATCATGCAATCATATTCTGCTTTGGTGCCCTGTTGTCTATGACTTGTGGTGCATGATTTATGATCTTATAGGAGTCAACTCGGTGATGACGGGAACTGTAAAAGAGGAGATTTGGGCTTGGGGAGGCTAGGTGCAAAGAAAGACATTGAAATTGTAAAATTAATCCTATTGACCATTTTCTGGATCATATGGAAAGTAAAGGAATTTAAGAGCTTTTGATGGTAAAGAGGTTGGAGCTATAGGTTGAGAGATAGATGGTATAATTATTTTGGATCTTTTTCTTGGGGTATGACATTATTAGGGATGAGAATTTTGAGAATGTCCTTGACATCCTAACACACTTGTAAATCTTTGAATATGGGTGGTACCCTCTTGATGTAGTGTTAATACATATCTCACAATTTCTATTTAAAAAAATAATGATAATTGATGCTGATAGGTTCAGTTCTCTATGCATTTTGTATAAGCAGGTTCCTGCATCTTTCACCCTTAGCTCATCGAGTGAAGAGGTTATCTCTTTGATTGCAGAAGTTGTATGCATCTCTGCTCTTCAAAGCACTGAAAGGCATTTCCTTGATAATTCTTTGGGAAGAACTTCGAGTAATTTCTTTCAGTGGTTTAAAAAGCATAGAAGGATTGTATCTAAAGATTCCTCAATTTTCATTTATCAGTTATTTGAAGATGAGATAATTGGAAATGGCAAGAGTCTGCTTGAAAATTTTAACTCCTTGAAAGGAACCTTTAGGCCTAAAGTAAAGCCAAAGAGCCATTGGTGGAAGCCATCCGCATATTTTCAATTGGAAAGCATTGGTGGTTCTGAGTTTGCTAGCTGGCTAATTGAGTATATACCTGCTTATCGACTAGAAATTGACACCAACAGACTCAAGAATGTAAAATTTGAAGGCTGGAGAAAGTCTGCTGAGAATTTGTGGGAAGTTCTTCTGACTCATTCCCAAATGGTATTTTGTTCTCTTCCTTTCTTCATTGGAGCTTTTTCTTTCATAGTGGTAACTTGTTTTTTGCATATGAAGAATCCATTCATTATTAATTGTCCATGTAAAATGAGAGTTTGCTGGTTTAAATGTTTTTGCAATTGACTGTTATGCCCATGACAAGTTTTGTTTTGTTCTGGCCTATTTTCTGTATATGTGTGTGTATATATATATATATTTGTTGCATTGAGTGAGAAAAAATGAAAACTTATGAGGAGTTTTCAGCACTGTGTCTTTGTTGCTAATTAATTAAATGGAATACATGGTTTATCTGATATTACTTCAGGTTGTAAATTTGTAGGTCAGACTGGTTGATGCATTGGATATGTACTTCGAAGATATTTACTCAATCCCCACTAAAGAGCTACCATGTGAAGTGGCTGCAAACTATGTCAATTTGTCCACCATGAAGGTACTCTTGGTGCATGTGGATTACCTTTTTTTTTTTGGCCAAACCATTTGACAACTTGTTTATTGGAAGGTTATCTTGCCCCTTCTTTAATGGATACATTTTTTAGTTAAAATAAGTCAATAACTAGGCACCAGAGGGTGCTAGCCATATACAGGAGAATGGGGAAATTAACAAATCAAACTACCGCCTCAGTCGCTCACTTTGAATCCCAAATATATTATGATTATTTGCTTCTAACCTGTCTACGTTGAATCTTTCACAAGTTGCAGAGCATTATGCAGAACCAGGCTGATTTTAAGGCTTGTTAGGAGTTGATTATTCATTCCTCGATTTAGGAGATCGTGCTTTTTAGGAAACTTGAGTTTATTAATTATATAAGAACTTTGAAACCTTGGATTTGTTTTCCTATTAGTTTTTTCCCTTTTTACCTAAAGGTTAGAAAAGGTCTCTAATCGACAATTTATATTTGACTTGGATTGATAAATTTCTAGTGAAATTATTTTACATTTCTATCTAGTTACTACTTTTTCCTCCCTCATTTTTCTTCATCCCTGTCTATGTTCCCTTTTCTCCCTGAAAATTCTTCATCCTTATTTCTCTGCCCCATATTTTTTCCTATTTCTCTATGTTGTAGAATAATTATGGTTATACCATTTAGTTGTTTTACATCACACTGCTTTCTATATTTGATGTCTTCATGCGGATGTCGAGGATCTTGGTCAAATCTAAACTGACAGCTCTCTTTGTTAATTTAGTCTTTAAATGTGTTCATCAACTATAAATTGATTGGTTTCATTTGTCACAGAAGGGCTCCTCTTTGTTGAAAATCCTGTATGCCACCATAGCAAGTGGAATTATTCTATTGGCAATTTGTTCTCTTGGTCAATTTAGTTTGCGTTATCAGTCCAAGGGAAATAAGTCCCTTAGAGAAAGCTGTTCTCTTACATCATCAGAGATCAAGTCTGAGACTCATCAATCTTCAGGAACTGCAGAGGTACAAATGCATTTTATCTGGGTAGTTCTATATATCAGTATGTTAAATTAGATGAAGTATGGAATGGAATGGGAATTAGACTAACCATACCTAAAAGCTAATATTAGTCATTGACATTTTATCTGGTGGTTGTTTAGAAAATTAGTTATCTTTTTCCTGTCATAGGCGTGAAATGAAAAAAAAAAATATGTATATATATTTATCTCAGTAAGGTGTTTGCATGGACTGCAGTTCTGAATTGGTTAAACACTAATGAGTTGGTGCAAGCTCGTAGGCCCGATCCAGCTTTGTCTCCATATATATGTGTGTGATATGCTGTAAAAGAGGAGAAACATATAACCATATTTTCCTTCAAGATGAGGTGGTGTGGAGGTTATGGTCTGGCCCATTTAACCTTTCTTGGATAACACTTCCATCATTGAAATGTTTTATATACTTCAGCATCGGACCAATTCGGATGAAGAAGAAAGCATGACTATTATGGCGAGGAGCATTGTTCTCAGGCTTATGGACTATTTGGTTGGAAAAAAATCATTGGATTTTTTATAATCAATTTTTTCCGGTTTATATGTTGGAGGAGAAAACAGCTTTTTTGGCTTTCCCATGGGCCAAGGCACATGGACAAGTTTCTGAAATTTCTCTTACGATATAGAAATCGGGAAGCAATAATCATGTGATTACCCATGGTTCATCTTTGTCCTAGGTGCTGTTTTCTTTGTTCGATGTTTATTCAGCATCTTTCTCAGTTAGATATCCAAATAAAGTTTTTTCATCGTTAACTTCTCGTTCTTAATATATATATATTTTTTCTGTTAAAAAAATCACGGATGCTGTAGTATCATTTGGGTTGTGCTAGGGTGAATGTTATCAACATATGCTAGTCTCTATATATCAATGTAAATCTAGATCTATAATCTTTTACATTGGCTGATTATTAAGTTTCTTCTTTTAATTGGTTGAGCCAGGTGGTTTGTCAACCGAAGGTAAATTAATTGGTATACAACTCAAGAACTCAGAGTATGAATCATGTTTCTGATAATCTCTTAACAAGAACTGTCTGATGGGCGAAAACTTTCTCTTGGTAAGAATTAACTGATTTTAGGATCTATCAGAATTGTTTAACAATCGAGATCGTTATCTGATATTCAAATTGATGGTTTTACTTGCTGGTGTTGCCTCTAGCAGGTTTTATCGAAGCTGGAAACATCGATGACCATTCAGATTCTCCTTTTATATTCGTTTAAGCCAAATTGATGATCACTGTCAAGGAGCTAAGCAACTAGTAAGACATGATTCATTGCGCGACTTGTTACTTGTATTCGTACACAAAATTCATTGCTGCCGAGGTACATTATTGACTAATTTTTTATATTATGTACCTTTTTAATGATAATATAATTTTTTTAATCATCATTTTCATATAGTAAAATGTTTATTTTATAATCATCCAATAATTTTATATATATATTTTTTATTTTTTTAATTATTTAAATTCATAATATTGTTTCTCATTTTTTAAAACATAATTTAAAATTTTTTATTTCTTACCACAACACCATGCCTATTTGTCTTGAGATTATGTGAAAACACAACATCCCTTATTGTATAATTTATATAACTTTTATCAAGATATAATATTTATCAAAAAAATTTTTTTAATTGTCTACAATATTAATATAAAAATTTTAAAATATTTTAATTTAAAATTTAATACAAAGGACAATATATTTTAACTAATAAATTATATTATGAATCATGCAATTCGATTCAATTTATTATAGTTTATTCAAAAGTTTAGAATTCATATCATAGTTCCAAGTTTAATTCCACAACTATGACAATGTTTTTCTGAGTTCAAATTTAAAGCCAACCAATTAAACATAAGTTGTAATGGATTAATTACATTAATATATTGTCTAAAATACATTAATTATGTTATCAGAAGGAATAAAGTGAATTATATAAAAAAAAAAACAATAAATTTTAAGAAGAAGTGACAAAATAATGTCATTTTTATTTTTAGAAATTGTTATTTTTAATAATTAAAATTATATATAACATTTAATTACAATAAAATTATAATTGTTTTTAGTACGATTGAAGAGAGTCTGCCACGTTCGCCCATTTCAACAGGTGGCGCTGCGGACGGTGACCTAAAAACCTCTCTGAAGCTGGCGGGCGGGGGGGTTTCTCATGGCACTTCTGTAAAACCCAAATCATCATCACCATGGGAGCTGCCGACAACCAAAACCCTAGCAACACTCCTCAGAACACCCCTTCTTCTTCTTCTTCTTTGTCGTCGACGAATCACCTATCCTCAAAAGCTAATTCCTCCTCCCAAAAGATCCACTACCCTAACCCTCCCGATCCTTCTAATCCAGACCCTGCCACACTCAGAGATCAATGGCGCTACGCCACCAGACAATACAGTAAATGGTATTCTCACGCCTGGGGGACTGCGATTCTCGCTGGTCTTTCTTTCTTCGCTCTTGGTTGGATTATCAAGGGCTCCAATCCCCTCCCTTCTCTCTCCCGCGATTCTCCGTCATCATCCTCTTCATCATCTTCATCTGATGAGAATAAGTGATAATTTCCACGGATGTTGACACCGGGTAAGTTTGATTTCTCTTTTAGGCTCTTAATTTGAGCTTCTCAGTTTATGGATATCTGTCGTCTTGTTCCGTGTTTTTTAGGAGATCTGATTTATTTTAGACTGGCATTTAAGGTATGGTTTTTTCTTCCAAATTGATCCATTTTTGAGTTTTGAGTCATTATCGGCTAGTAGTTTAATATGATAGTGATACATGTTTTATATATTGATACATATATACATATATTATACTTGTCTTCTGGTTGGTGGATTGAATCAAAATGGAGCTAATTGGGTTGCAGATACAAAAGAGGAGCCGCACAATTGAAATTCCTTACTGAATCAGAAAGACAAAGGGTGTTATTGTTTGTTTTTGAAAGATGAAGCTATAGTTGATGTCAAAGCAAAAATTCCTTCTTTTTTTTGGGATAAAGATGTTAAAGCAAAAGTTGTGACTTGAGAATCTGGTTAAATGCAAATTTAGTGATTGAGATTATGTATTCTTGAAGTTTATGCTGATTTTAACTCAATTATGATGGGGAAAAAAGAATTTAAGATAAAATTCACATTGGCATTTTCAGTACAAATTTATAGTAAATGGAATTATTTATTGAAGAAATTTATGCTGATTTTCCAATTAATTTATTAAGTCAATTTTGATGGGTTGAAAAAGAATTTAAGATAAGTTTACCTCTTATCAGATATTCTTGGAGATGGAGATTTTTGTCAGTCAAATTTTCGAATTTCCTGAACATTGATGAATCAAAACTGGAGCCACAAGGAAACTCAAATGGACAATCTATAAACCCAAATGAAGAATCTGTGTATTATGAAGAGAGGTTGTATTCACAGGGATATGTCTATGGCCTACCAATACAGTAACCAAGCATGGCATAACAACGGTAGCAGCATTGTATTTGTTGAAAAAATGGGTTAAACAGAGCAAGAAATTTCACTTTGATGTATGGCTAAATTGCTTTTCAAAATCCTGAAATCTTGGTGGTAGTAGGAGGCAAATTTTGTATAGAGCCAAAATTATGCTGTTGACCCAGTTAATACAAGGGCTAGAGATCCATCTCTGTGTTTATACAAACAGAGTTTAGAATTTCAAATGTAAGATTCCTTTAAGATTCAAGCAGAGCAACATCCCACTTCGTTAACAGTCAATGCATCGTCTTTTGTTCCAACATTGATTGTCTGACCTTTGGGTAAAGCTGCAGGGTCGTCGCCAATGTCTAGTGCCTTTCTGCTTACTACACGAAATATCTGGGTGAGTACTTGAGTGAAAGCATTATCCACATTCGTAGACTCGAGAGCTGATGTTTCCATGAAGAAAATGTTCTCTCTTTCTGCAAAAGACGTTGCATCTTCCATGGAAACTGCTCGCAGGTGTCTCAGATCAGCCTTGTTTCCAACGAGCATAATGACAATATTTGCATCTGTGTGATCTCGGAGCTCCTTGAGCCATCGTTCCACATTTTCAAATGTAATATGGCGGGTGACATCGTAAACTAGTAAAGCACCAACAGCTCCTCGATAGTATGCACTTGTAATGGCACGGTATCTTTACAAAAACAAAAAGAAATGATATGAAATGAGATGTATATTTCCAAGAGGAAATGCATTCAAGGGAAAAGATAAGCATTACAAATGAGAGGATTGAACAATACTTAAACCCAGGATAATTTGAAATCATGGTATGTTAGAATCAAAGAAAGATGGTAAACTATTTCACCGAATCTATCATCAACGTTTCAACAAACAAGAACGGAAAAGAGTTAAATAACCTGTACTAAAGTAAACGATATACTAGGCTCATCATCCCGAAATTTCATTGAGAAGAGAGAACTAGCATCGGAAAAGTTTAGGAACAATCAACAGAAGAACAGAGTGTAATCTTGCCAGTGTTGAGGTAAAGGTGGTAAGAGATTGCTTCCTCATAAATTCCTCTCCTCTTCAAATTGCTCTCTTCTTGATCTTCTCCACTCTTTTAATCCAAAAACTATCATGTATGCTACCATTTCCTTGTTGACTTCTGGTAAGTTTATGATGTTGTTTCGACAAGCATGAAACTCATAGCAAGGACGAAGACAAACTATGCAGAACAGTCAAGATTCCGCGAAGAACAATCTTTACCCTTGGCAGGATAGCATTTGTAAAGAGTATGAAACTATATCAAAAGTATTCCTTAGTGATAGAAAAAGTATTAACAAGAATTACCTATATATACACACACAAACATACACATGCAGAAGCACGTTCAGGAAAACCTAGTTGAATTCTGGCTTAGATTTCACATTACAAATTGTGGAATATTTTTCTCAAAGACAAAAAAAAAAAAGAAATAAAAACTTCTGGAATCTATGCTCCATATTCCTCCATTACATTACACCTACCACATACCATTGAACTAATATATAAAGATATGGATTATGCCAATTTCAACGAGCTGTAAATTGAAACATCTCCTATCCATTTTAGAGAAGCCCCAAATTGCTTACCCCATTTAACCAATGACACAAACCAATAAAGGGTTTTCACATTTTCGTAATCCTGAATTCAGACCAGCAAACAGAAACAAGCAATTCCCCTTGATCTAAAACCATCAAGATCCAAAACACAAAACAAGCATATAGATTAATCAAAACATGAACAAACGAAGAAGTGTTGTATATGTTTTAGGTTACCTTTCCTGGCCAGCGGTGTCCCAAATCTGGGCCTTGACGACCTTGTCATCGACATGAATGCTGCGGGTGGCGAACTCGACGCCGATGGTGGACTTGGACTCGAGACTGAACTCGTTCCTCGTGAATCTCGCTAGCAGATTCGATTTGCCGACGCCGGAGTCACCAATCAATACTAGTTTGAACAAGTAATCGTAATCATCGTCAGCTCTATAAGCACCCATTAAAACTATATTAATATTAATATCAATTTGCTAAAGTTGATATTAATATTAACATCAATTTCTTTTCTCTCTTCTCTGTTCGTTTTGTTTCATGGAATTTGGATAGAGATTCCGGATGAGAATGAAAGAGGGTGGTGGGTTTTGCGTGTTGAAGTTAATAAAGGGAGACGATGAGATCATAATTTGAGAAAAAACAGCCAAGTGAATTGGGTTTGTGTTCTGTTCTTTCCTCTCTGTTTTCTTTGTTGTTGTGGGTAATTTAACATATTTATTAAATAGAAGTTTTAATTTTTTTGACAAATAAAATAATTTGATAGACAAAATAAGTGATAAATATAAGAAATTATTCATAGGATAATAATAAATATAATAACATCTAAAAATTTTGTACGAGTTTGAGGTTGTGATTAAAGTATACTATCATAATATTCATAGTAACTCTTCTAAGAAATATTATATTTAGAAGTGAAAATCCATGAAGAAAATTAAAAAAAAAAATGGATATAATAACAGTTCAACTAAATTAAAAAAAAAAAGGTATATATTATTGATGTGTTAGAAAAGAATATATGTCTTGTACTTGTCATACATTGTAGTATTAGTTTATTAAAATTATCATTTTAATTAAGATCCTATAAATATAACACAATTTAATATAAAATATCATTCTTGAATTTGGAGGGAATAATTGATGACTTTCTTAGATATATAATTGCCAAAATTAATTAGTTATTTTTAGTATCTTAAGATATGAGTCACTGTTTTCTCACATCATCCATTTACTCTTTTTAGTTTAAAGAAAAAAAAATACCTAGGTGTGGTGATTGTAGTTCATCACGTTTCCGCTGCGCTACTTTGATGAGTAACGTATTGAAAATTTGCTAGTAGTTGGGTGTGAGGACAACTCTTACGACCATACCCATACATACGAAATTTTTCTAAGAGTATTAGAACTTTTGGAAATAAAGATTCTAGTTAGGTGTTGTGTGAGTTTAATTCTTAAAATAATGGTCTATTTTCTAAGGATCAGGTTATTTGTTTTCATAAGATTCGGAACCACTATTGGAGTTTATAAACATAGTTGGAAAAGAATTTTAGAATAGTGAGGGTATTTGTTTCCCTAGAGGGATACAACGAGAATTCTTAGAAAAATTTAAATTGCCATTTGGCTCCTATCAGGCTTAGAATTTATTAGCTGGAGTATATTTATTTAGGAGTTTCTCTCATTTTGATAATTTCTTCATATTGGAAAATTTTCTCACTCAAGAGATTTTTTTCCCACCTAAGGAATTTCTCTTATTTAAGGAATGCTGCTCTCATTCAGGAAACCTCCCTGCTAGAATTTTTTTTTTTAATTGAATCTCAAATTTACTTGGAGGTATCTTTGCGTAAGATGGTCTCCAAGATCGAACGTGTAGCGCCCGGACCGAGGAGGAAAAAAAAAGAAAAAAAAAAGCCACGTCGGCAGCCACGTCAGCAGGCCCGGTCAGCAGTCCCGGCCAACCGGGACTTGCCACGTGGCAAAATCACGTCGTTCCAACAAGGGCCACGTTGGCAATCCGCGTGGGCGCGATCGGACGGCCCATATCAAACGTGCGATTGGACGGCCCAGATTTAAATGCACGGACGGCCCAGATTTAATCAAAATGGACGGCTGAGATCAAAAGGCAAGGGGTTATAAATAGAACCCCCACACAAGACCACAAACCCTAGCCGCCTGCCACTCGCCGGAGAAGACGAACCAGAAGCCGGCCGCCGCCACCCGTCGCCGCACCGGAGGAACTTCCGACCGCCGATCGAGGTAAATTTCATACTCCGACTCGTTTTTCCACGCTGATTCCTCCTGTGACCAAATCGGAGCCAAAATCCCGGCCAAACGGCCGGAATGCACGGCCGAAGCCCAGCGGCGTCGCCGCGCCCTTCTCGGTTTTTGCCTCCGATGAGGCCCTTCCCGGCCTCCGTTTAATGCAATTTTTATATCACTGTGATTACCACTCTTTTCTCTACAGGTTGACCGGAGCCGAATCACCAAAACACGAACCTCGCCGGAGAGCCGCCGCACCCGAGAGCCGCCGCCGGTAAGCTCCGTTTTTCCGTAATTTTTTGGCCCCCCGAGGGCCCTAGGGTTGTTTTCTCGCAGGGACCGATGCGAGTGTGGCCGAATTCGGTCGGAAACGGCCGAAAACAGCCAACCCGAGGCGAATCGCCGCCGCCAGCGGCGGCGCCGTCGCCGGAGCACGGCGGAGCCGTCATGCCGGAGTTGCGATTAGGGCCGAAAGGGGCCCTGGGCCTAATTTGGGATTTTTTTGGAATACGTGCAGGTACCAGTAGTGCGTTTCAGTTCCCCGAGAAAAATTCAGGGAAAATTAGGGACAGCCTGCAAGCGCACTGTGAAGCCGTGTTCGGACCCCGAAACGAGTAAGGACCCCTCACCTTATTTCCTATCACGGTTTTAAAGTTCAATAAATGATAAAACGATATTTCATGAATCAACGAATGTGTGAAATTGTTTAGGGTCGCTAATGGAGCCCGAGTCTAGTGTGTTTGTCGGTTAATTGTTATTTGGCCTGTTTTACAGTTTTAAACGTAGCATGAGGTTCGATGTTTTCATTTTATAGTTTCGTGTGCATGTTTTACTGTTTTATTGATTATGGATTAAATGACCGGGATATTGATGCTGTATGTTGTCTGCTTAGTATAAATTATCGTTTTGCTTGCTTGTATGTGGATTAATGATGCTGACTGAGGAAAAAGAGAATGAACAATTATGTAAATGGATAATGGTATAATGTGGTCAGCCTGACTAGATATCTTGGGAGATGGTGGACGGACCGGGTCCGTAGGGAACCCTACCGGGATTGTGGTCTCCCATACCGGACGGAGTATGGGGACGGCCCGTTTCACCCTCATACCGGACGGGGTAATGAGGTCTATGGTTTGGCGCCCATACCGGACGGGGTATGGGGACGGCCCTAGAATTTGATTTCAAGTGTTAAGGATTAACGGGTAGCGGGACTCCTATGGATCCCCATGGATACTAGTGGGCTGGTGAATTAGGAAAATATATTGTGTAACGATTGAATTACGAAAAGTGTGATAGGTATTATGTTATACAGTTCATATATATGTTTCCATGATGATGATGATGTTATTGCTTTCGTATATTGTTTTATGAATTTCACCGAGGTAAGTAAATGGTAAATGTTTTATTTATCGATAAAAGGATTTGTTGTAAATTATGCTCCATTGGTCGTTTTGTGTTTTCTACCCACCTTTACCTCCGTGACGGTGAGATATCGTGATGTCTTTACTGGGCTAGTGTAGCTCATTCCTTATTTAATCATTTCAGATCAAGAGGACATCGTTCCCGAGCCGATTCCGCAGGAGGACGACGAAGGGAACGCCTAAAGACTCCATAGTCACATTCGTAGTTTTTACTTTCAAGATTCTCCTTTAGGTAGTTTAATCTTTTATATTTTGTGAGCACGTTTCGGTTTCAGTGTAAGGGATGTTATTCAAATTTTGACATCGCTTCCGCATTTGATATTTTTGAATATAAAATTCTATTTTAAATTTCCGGGGCTGTTACAGAACGATCAATAGCCTAGAATAATTAATTATTTACTTTGAGGTCCTTCAACTTCAATCCGTCAATTTCTCTTTTTTGCATATCAGACACAGCTGTTTCAGTTGTTGGTTCTGGAACCCCTTCCAAAACGACCTGCCAGTACTTTTTATATATTAGAAAATTTTCCATCAACATGCTCCAATAATCATAGTGACCATCGAAGCGAGAATAATAATTTAATAGATGCCACACTGACAATAATAATTTCAATAAAAGAAAACATACTATTTTTCTTGTACAAACTAGAAACTTGTGACTCAAATACCACTATTGACTCAAATTTAATAGATTACAGAAATATGATTGATAGAATAAGAAGACAAAAATTAAACTTAAAAGTTTATCTAAAGTGATAGCAAATTAGTCTATAAATAGATATTACAATCAGTAAACAACTGACCCATAATTCCTATAAAATATGAAGTAATAATCCCACTAACATAAACTGAAATGCTAAAACTTAGGAATCATCAAAGCATTAATCATAAAAATCTATAAAAATAAAATATTTTTAGCAAATAGCTAAGTTATTGTTAACATGATCAACTAAAAAGGTAAGGATAAGGAAGGAAGCCTCTAGTTTAGGAACAAATGACGATGAAGAGGCATAATCTGTAGGTGATGAAGAAATGGATGAGGCGAAAGACATGGAGATTGTTGTTACCGAAGAAGAGGATTGTGTGGAAGTAGAAAGAGACGGAATGAAAGACAATGGTTCTTAAAGTCACGAAAAAGTCTCATTTCGAAACAAACTTACAAACACTAGGCATTCTGAGAAAAAAATAAAAGACCTTGAGATTAAGGATGAGAACGTGGTTAGCAATTTGGAAAATGGTCTCCCTACAATTTTATTCTTTGACAGAGTTTATAACTACATTTCTCAATCCATGAAGAACCGTGTGATTATATGATTCTTGAGCAGAGCAATTAGCTACTGTGCCTTATTTGACTGCCTCCAGAATCTTTAGAGACTAATAAGAACCTTCCAACTCATTGGTATGAACAATGACTAAGCAAAATTCACTGACCCTAATGATTTCATGCATATAATCACTAGGGGTCCATGAGTTATCTACAAACACTACCTAACAATGCAAGCATGGACATCGACTTTATCCATCAACAACGATACGGTGACCTTTGTGGTAGCATGGGTGAGATTCCTTGGGCTTCCACTTGGATGGGAATTTGTCTTCTAGTCGGGACATTGGGTCGCAATGGGAAAGTGTTTCTCGCTCCTGGGAAATTTTCTCTCAGTTGGGAGATTTTTCCCCTCCTTAGGAACTACTTTCTTATCTTAAAGGAAATTAAATATTTTTTTCCTAAGAGCTTGACTATTGTCATTTAACTCTACGGGGTCAATAGGTCAATAAAAGGTTAAGGCTCTGATAGTTTTCCTTAACACCTGTGAAGTTTGACGACGGTGGTTGGTTAAGTATCATCATCTGTTAGCTTCAGGATAAACTCCTAATTCGTTGAGTCTTAAGTTTGCCAGAAAGTAACTTATATGGTTCTTATCATTAGGATTGTAGAATATTGTCATCGTACTTTCCATGTTGAAAAATATTTCAGTGAATGTCCAAAGCATTTCTT